ATGGAGATTCCTCAAATAATTAAAAATAGAACTACCCTATGACCCAGCAATCACACTACTAGGTATTTATCCAAGGGATACAGGTGTGCTGTTTCAAAGGGGCACAGGCAACCCAATGTTTATAGCACGATCAACAATAGCCAAAGTATGGAAAGAGCCCAAATGTCTATTGATAGATGAATAGATAAAGAAGAGGTAGAATACATGGGCCCTCTTCATCCCCCACTACCTCCCTCAAAAAGGTGAGGTAATCTGCCCTTCCCACTAAGGGAAGGTAACTTCGCCTGAAACAATCTTTTCTTCCCTTTTGTAAATAACTTCCTTGCTCCACCCTCCTGTTATATATAAACATTCCATTTTGTACAATTCCTCAGCGTTCCACTTTACCTGCTAGAGAGGAAACTGCCCAATTTGTGAACTGATTAATAAAGCCAATTGGATTTTCAAAAAAAAGAAAAAAGAAAAAAAGATGTGATACACACACACACACACACACACACACACACACACACACAGGAATATTACTAGGCAGTCAAAAAGAATGAAATCTTGCCATTTGCAACTACATGGATGGAACTAGACTATATTATGTTAAGCAAAATTAGTCAGTTAGAGAAAGACAAATATCATATGACTTCACTCATATGAAGACTTTAAGATGCAAAACAAAGGAACATAGGGAAGGGAAGTAAAAATAATATAAAAACAAAGATGGAGACAAAACATAGAGAATCTTAAATATAGAGAACAGATGGAGAGTTGCTGGAGGGGTGTGGGTGGGGGGATGGGCTAAATGGGTAAGGGGCATTAAGGAAGATCCTTGTTGGGATGAGAACTGGGTGTTATATATAGGGGATGGATTGCTGGAATCTACTCCTGAAATCATTATTGCACTATACGCTAACTAACTTGTATGTAAATTGAAAATTCTTTTTAAATCATAATAAAAAAATAAGAAAAAAGAAAAAGAAATTCTTCCCAATCTTGTCAACACTGATGACATCGATAAAACTGTTAGAGTAAGCTATATCAGTTTGGACCTTGCCATCAATCTTAATAAAATGCTGCATTCAGATCTTTACTTTGTCTCCTGTTAAGACATACTTAAGTGTGTTTCTTAGGAAAATAATGAAAGGAAGACATTCTCTCAGCTTATGGGGTTGAGCGGCAAACACACAGGTCAATTTATCCAGCATCCAATGCGTTGGATCTACTACATGCTTCAGATGCTTCTTGGGACCATGAGTCATGGCTGCTCTAGACATGAAAAGAGAACCACGTAGCCTGTGAATTTCTTATCAACATTCACCTACCCTTCAACTCAGAAATTCCACATATGTCTACAAAAAGATTTGTTCATATCAGCTTCATTCATAATAGTTAAAACCTAAAAACAGTATGTATCCATCACCACCAGAATAAATACTGTGGCATACTCATGCAATAGAATAATATTCAGTAATAAAATGAAACCACAAATAAATATGAATCTCAAGAACATTATGCTAAGTGAAAAAGCTTTACACAAGAGAACATGGTATATGATTTCATTCATACAAAATTCTAGAACAAGCATATGAAATTATGATGAAAAAGAAATCAGAAAAGTGTTTGTCTCTCAAGGTGGATATTAGGGGTTGCCTGGGAAGGGGCATGATGGAATTTTCTGGAGTGATGGCACTATTTTATATCTTGAAGAGAGTATAGGCTGTCACAACTCCTAAAAATGATATATTTTAGTTTCATGCATGGTGTATATTTTATTTCAAAAGAGGAACTCTAAATGTATATTGAACCCTAGCTAATCACATTCAGCCTAAATGTTTAATGATGAACAACTTACTCTGAAGTGCATCAAAAAATAAGATGGACACTGGGGGGTCTGAGTGGCTCAGTCAGTTGAGTATCCAACTTCAGCTCAGGTCATGACCTCACCGTTCATGGGTTCAAGCCCCACGTCGAGCTCTGTGCTGACAGCTTAGAGCTCGGGGCCTCCTTCAGATTCTGTGTCTCCCTCTCTCTGCCCCTCCCCTGCTCACTCTCTCTCTAGAAAATAAACATTTAGAAATTTTTTTTAAAATAAGATAGACAAATAGATAAATAGATGTAAGATAAAACAAATAAAGTACAGGGTGGGGGAGAGTGTAAAGTGGGTGATGGGCATGGAGGAGGGTACTTGTTGGGATGAGCACTGGGTGTTTTATGGAACTACATTATTAAAAAAACTATATTATATTAAACAATATTATATTATTAAAAAATACAGTGCAATGTTAACAAAGAATCTAAGTGGCTGGTATAGTGTTCACTGTCTGTACAAGTCTTTCAGCCTTTCTATATATTTGAATTATTTTCATATCCATCTGAACTACTAATTTTTAAAAAAAAGGAAAGGGACACCAGGGTGGCTCAGTTAGTTAAGTGTCCAACCCTTGATTTTGGCTCAGGTCATGATATGATGGTTATGGAATCAAGTCCCACATCAGGCTCCATGCTGTTTGGAATTCTCTTTCTCCCTCTCTCCCTGCTCCTCCCTCACTCATATGCTCTCTCACTCTTTCTCTCGCTCTCTCTCTTGCTCTCTCTCTCTCAAAAAATAAATTAATATTTTAAAAAAATAAATAAAAAGAGGACAAAAATTTCAAATTCGAAATTTAAAAACCCTCTACTACATATATCAAAAAACACTGGATAAAACAAATAAATGATTTTATATATATCCTTTTAAATGAGTAGCTGTCAAGTGAAATGTAAATAGATGCTCAGGGACCAAAAGTAAAGACAGAACGGAAAACCAAATACTGAGCACAATGATTTCCCACTGTGACCACCCAAGCAAAGTGGGGGTGGGAGGATGGAAAACCAGATCAAGTCCGGGTCAATAGAACTTTTGTTGTCATGCTGAGGGATTCTGTGAGCAGTCTGGAGGAGTAAAAGTTTAAACAGGTGCATGAATTACTCTAGGTTCTGGGAATATGGCAATGAAAAAAACAATAAATATTCCTTAAGGAGCTAAATTCTAGTTATGTAAAATTGGCAAAAGAATACATACTTTATTTTGTATGTTAAAACATAGATTTTTTTTTTTTACTCACCTTTATCTCACTTTGGAGCAAAAGGAGAATGGTGCAGGGCAGATGTAATCATTATAGGAAATATATGAACTGTCAGCATTACTTTCCAGCATGGGACCTTGGAGACATGTACTATTAAATTGAGGTAAGGGGATATTTCAATAATTTTCAGCCTTCTCAGAAAATCCTTTAACATTTTCTTTTCCACTTGACTTCTTCAGTTTAGCAGTGGCATTGGAACCTATAAAATGTTACTCTAATCCAATTCTAACATGACTTTTATGAAAAGAATCTTATTTTTCCTTTAAACAAACAAAAGATTATAGCGTCTAATTAGTACTGTGATAACTCTGCTTAGTTACTTACTGCTGCATTAAGAATTACTTCACAATTTAGAAGGTTCAGACAACCAATATCTATTATCTCACAGTTGACTTGGGTCAAGAATCCATGGATCTTAGCTTTGGTATAAGACTTCTCATAAGACCAATCAAGCTGTTGGTTGGGACTGTAGTTTCATCTGAAGGTTCAACTGGCAGAGGATTTGCCTGTAGGTCCCCTCACATGGTTTTTGGCAAGATTCAATTCCTCACAGGCTATTGTCCAGAAGCATTCTTTAGTTCTTGCCGTGTGGGACTCTCTTTAGGGAAGCTCACAACATGACAGACACTCAGAGTGAGGAAGTGAGAGAGCACAAGAATAGATGCCTAAGATGGAAACCACAGTCTTTTTGTGACCCAATCTCAGAAGTTGCATCCCATCCCCATCACTCCTACCATATTCTGTTTATTAAAAATTAAGCCCACACTCAAGGGGAGGGAATTGCACAAGAGTATGAATACCAGGATGGAGGGACCATTGTGAACTTTCTTAGAGGCTGCTTACTACATCGACTTTTGACCCTAAACTTCTATCTTTCCAGTTTGATTATTCAACCATGGTCCACCACAAACATTTTTCTTTATCTTTAGGACATTCAGGCCACTGAACTTTCTATTAGTTAACACCACCACCTCCACCATGCTGTTCACTTCCCATGTTATTAGTTTAGATTACATGGTCTGTCAGTTTAGTAACTTTTTCACCAGCATCTTAAACTCTTCTGCCCCTCTACTCTCTGTCTTTTCATAAACCCAACCCTGAATGAATACATCATCTTTTCCCTCTGTGCCTGCATCTTGCTGGCTAAATCATGCTGGAGGAAATTGTGAAAAAGGCCAGATTCACCTTTCTCTCTATACCTTAATGATTTCCTACCCTACCGGAGCCCTGACAGTTATATTATAACCCTATATGCTATAACCATAATCCTGGCAGTTATGCTATATGGCTTGAGTCAGCTTGCTTGCTACTCTTCACCATTTATAACCTTCTTCCTTCAGCAAACACACCCTCATTCTCCCAATTTCAATGTTAAATGCCCCCACTTCTCAAAAGACAAAGTCAACTATAGGGGTTCCTTTAAATTTCTGCCACAAAGACCTGTTTACAATTACTGCCATTCTCTCATCTATTACACCTTTTGAAATAGTGCTGAATCCTATCCCTGGTCACCTTTCTCAGAAGCTCACCATTATTGATTTTATCTTTTCTATCCTATATCTTCATCATCTTCTCTCTATTGAATCCTTCACGTAAGAATTTTTTTTAATCCCGGATCCCACTTCCCATTCTATCAACTGCTATCCTAGATTTCTCCCCTTCTTCATTGCTGATCTTTAAAGAATTTACTAAACTCACTACTTTTGTTTCCTTCAATCCTATTCTTTCCTCAGCCCAATCCATTTCTTTCCCCTCCTGACATTGCTGAAACAGTTCTCACTAAGGTAACCAGTGACCTTCATATCACTAAAGTCAATAAATATTTTTCACTCTTCATAGTATTACATCTCTTTGAGGCATTTGCTGTTTTTATTTGTTTGTTCTAAAAACATGGAATGCTTCACAAATTTGCCTGTCATCCTTGCATAGAGACCATGCTAATCTTCTCTGCATCGTTCCAATTTTAGTATGCCAAAGCGAGCACTCTTTGTGGCATTTGAAACATGTTTCCCTTGGCTTCTGTGATGCCACATTCCTGATTTTCCTCCTCTGTCTCTGTAGTGGCATTATTTACCCTGGAATCTCCTAAACACATTTCTATATTGTGTTCACTTTCTTCATGATGAGTCCTAACTCCCAAGGCAAAGACCAGGGTCTGCCTTGCCAGCTTCCCTTGCAATCAAGTGTAAGCATGGGACATTAAGTCCCACTACTTACTGCATCCAAATGAGAGTTGGAATTAGAAGAAAATGCTAGAAAGAAGAATACAAGTCAAACTAATTTTGCTTGCATAGGTTATTGTGAAAATTAAAATTTGGTAATATCCATAGAGCAATTAGAATAGGGCCTGGTGCAATGCAAGTAGTATGTAAGTATTAGCTATTATTATTCTGAAAGGAACATTGGTAGCTCAAATAACCCAAAACTATACTAAAAGAGTCCTATTATCACCATGTATCAGCCAAAAATTTTCACCAAATATAAGACACACAAAACCATCTGAGGACCTACTACCATGGCTATATTGCTGGTGAAGATCATGGAGAGATCAACAAATAGAGAAGCAGATTCATGTTTAATATGAATCATAGAAAGTTGGAAGATTCAGTGTGATTTCAATCATGGTATCAAATGCTGAATCAATATTTCTGGGTATGGCCAGCTACAAGAGGACATGGCCACACTTCGCACATGGAATTTTTTCCCTCAGAAATTAAAAGAGGAAGGAGTAGGGTTAGGGGAAGAGACTTTGGACTAGAGGGCAGAAATTAATTCAATTAAATAGAGACATAAGGACTTCTCTCCCTCACGTCCCCCAACCCCACCAAGCTATGACTGTAAATTGTCAACAAGAGCATTTTTTAATGGATTATTGCCTTGCAAGACAAATTAACTGAGTAATATAGAAAAGTATGTGTATAATTTTATATAATCTATATATCTGTAACATGTAACACATTATCTGCTTCACTAAGGTGTGATACGGAATAAACAAATTCATAAGGTAGAGCAATGTGAACAATGTCTGGCACATCATTGTCGTCTGTTTGTTTTCAGTCATGTACTCTACACCCTGCCATTCCCTTTTACTGCTTAAAAATGGTTGATGCAACTGAACTGCCTGCAGTTCAGGGGCTTGTGACTGGAGAGATGCTGCACAAGAAAAGAAAGAAGAAAAATGAACTCTAGGGGGTTTATCTTTGAAGCTAAAGTCTCCCACTCCCCACTAATCTTTCTAGGAAGCTATAACAGAGGTTCCTTAAGAGAAGCTGTGGGCAGAGGTCTTGAGGGTGCCCAGGGCATGACAACATGCTTATGGCTGGATCCGCCTACCGCAGCCTGGCTTTCCACCTCCTGCAGTGCCTGCCCCAGGCAGAGCCTTTCTCCCCAACCCACACCAGAGAGCCTCAATCTCCATAGCTTTGTGAGCAGCAGCTTTTTATAGCCTCAACCACACAAATGATGGTCCAGCTGCACCCAGTACATCCAGGAGAACAAGGTAAGACTTTCCTCTCTGTGTTCAAATTAACATTTGGGCAAGATTCAGAATTGAAAATCCAGAAGAGTAACTCCTAATGGTGCTTGTAAGTCACCGGGGGAACCATTGTGACACTGTTCAGATAGCATTGGTTTGTTTACATTATACATGATCTTGTTATCACAAGATTTCTCTCTTCACCAGCATGGGATCTACTTACCTCTGCTCTTCAAATGCCACTTTGTTTACTCATTGGCCATCCTTTTCTCAAAAATACCATCTCAGCATCAGCTGAGGCCTCTTCTGTGGCCACCTAGTAAGTTACTTGGTAAAATATCTTTCAGTAAGAACTATGTAGAATGAATTATCAGAAGCCTTGATACTATTTACCTCTATAAAGTATTGGCTTTTACAATACTGTTCTAATATTACTATTATGTATCATCCCAAGAAGGAAGAAAGTAAAGAAGAACATAAAGAAATCAGAGCACTACAGCTCTCCACATAGTTCACATTCAGGACATAAATGCAGAAATGACAAAAGATGAATGCCAGGGAGTTGTATCAACCTGTGAGCCAAATGCCAGAGACTAATTCCCTTAATTTTCTGAGAATTGTGAACAGTGCTTCAGGCAACCAAACCTTATTCTTAGAGCAAGTGAAAGAATATATAAAGCAGGGGACCACCATTTGTAGAATATGTATACATAAAAAAATGTAACAAATGACAGAAAATATGGAATTCCTCAAGGTCCCTTTTGCTCTTACCTTATTTGTAAGAACAATAATACTTGAACTGCACTCAACCTCCCAATATCATAAAGAAGAAACTGAAGTCTAAAATATGGAGAAAAATATTAAGAAACCCTACAGCCAGTTCAAGTTAGTTCAAGCCTCCAAACCCAGCTGAATGAAACTTTTGAGTAACCAGAAGCACAAGCACACAAACAATGGTTTCCTGATTCTGCTCATAAGGGGAAAGAAATAAATTATTTTAAAAACCATTGTCTAGCAAGCTAATGATGCAGAGTCTGAGCTAACTGTAGATAGGTTATTAAATACATGGGTTGAGAGTATCTAGAAAGGAGTGAGTTAACCACAGGGAACCAGAGACAGGTAAGCCAAATGGAGAAAGGGAGGAGCAGAAGATAGTAGAGGGAGAGAAAGAGTACAAAGATAAATTGTGAATGCCTTGGAAATGGACCAAAAGGATTATAGGATGTCTTTAATGAAAATCAAGTGTGTTTAGCATATCTTCCAAAGAGATCCAGTTCTCCAGGGGTCTTCATGCCTTTCATGACCTTTGAGCTACTTACGACTCTATAATTTGTAGACAATTTATAGAAGTGCCAATTAATTTTGTCCAAAATTGTATACATGAATTTTTTCTCATGGAGCATCAGTTGATTTTCCCCCACCCATGTAAATAAACCTGTTTTGTACTTATGAAGCAAATTCATCTCAGTATTCTGGGTGGCCTCTATGGCCCATATAAATTTCTGCTATCTGGACTCTCCTTTGAACTTGTAGCATCTTACTAGTACCCACATTAATTCATGAGTTGAATAAAATCTTTAATTTCTAAAAAGTTTATATTGTACAAGAGGCATGGCTTTTCATTTTAAAAAAATGCATTTCCTTTTATGGGAAGATGGGAGGGAGTTCCAGACAGAAGTAGTGACATCTTCACTGAGATACCACCTCACGCCAGTCAGAGTGGCTAAAATGAGCAAATCAGAGGACTCTAGATGCTGGTGAGGATGTGGAGAAATGGGCACCTTCCTGCACTGTTGGTGGGAATGTAAACTGGTACAGCCCCTCTGGAAAACAGTGTGGAGGTTCCTCAAAAAATTAACAATAGAACTCCCCTATGACCCAGCAATAGCACTGCTAGGAATTTACCCAAGGGATACAGGAGTGCTGATGCATAGGAGCACATGTACCCCAATGTTCATAGCAGCGCTCTCAACAATAGCCAAAACATGGAAAGAGCCTAAGTGTCCATCAACAGACGAATGGATCAAGAAGATGTGATACAATGGAATACTACATGGCAATGAGAAAGAATGAAATCTGGTCATGTGTAGCAACATGGATGGACCTTGAGGGTGTTATGCTGAGCGAAATAAGTCAGGCAGAGAAGGACAGATACCATATGTTTGCACGTATAGGAGGATTAGGAGGAACTTAACTGAGGACCATGGGAGAGGAGAAGGGAAAAAATAGTTGGGGAAAGGGAGAGAGGCAAACTATGAGAAACTCTTGAATGCTGAGAACAAATTGAGGACTGATGGATGTGGGGGGGGGGAGGAGGGAGACGGGCATGGAGGAGGGCACTTGTGGGGATGAGCACTGGGTGTTATATGGAAACTAACTTGACAATAAACTATTTGTAAAAAATAATAATAAAGTGATGAAAGCAGGAAAAAAAGTAGTGACATCTTTTTAAAATATGGAAATGAGGGAAAACTAATGTGTTGATAGCAGAAATAGCACTTGCACTAGTGGGGAGATGAGGCTGGAAAGAAAGGTGAGCAAAAATTAGGTCAGTGGAAGTGAAAAATGTATTATCTTAACAATTAGCACCAGAATTCCTCTTAGGGAGGTTACTATAATTTTTTGAGCCAATACTTGGACTGCTGCTTATGACAGTCCAAAGAGTGTGAATGTCAGCAGGCACCATGGTAAATATTTTAGAAAGTGGCTAGACTGATTTTCCTAAAGCAAAGAAAAAAAAATATGTTTTAGCGCCTAAAAAGGGAGGATAAGAGGAGAATCAGGGATATGATGTATAGTTGGAGACCATGTAGGATAAAAGGCCAGTAATGTTGGAGTAGTTAAAAGGCATTTCAAAAACGGAATAGCTAATGTTCAATTTGAAGCCATTTGCACTGATGCAGTATAAATCTTTCCAAAGTTAGCTTTGTGTCAGCTAATTTTATGGTCAAATTCTAGGGGTTCCTTAAATGTGTATAGTACTTAAAAACAAGCAGAATTACATATCTGAGTTGCTGTGGAGGCACTACCCACTAAAACCCGAGCCCAGCAGTAGGCAGAAACACAGAAATCATGGAGAGAAATACTAGAATTTCCTAGGGTTGAGGTGACTTTATTTAGGTCTCAGTGAGTAATAGATCTACAGCTGACATGTGGGTTACATAAACCGAAAATAAAGAGTTTCTACTTGGCCTTGGAGATGATAGAGAGTCACTGAGGTGACTGGCACGGCAAGATAGCTGTGTCCAGAGGTTAGGGGATGACATGAAAAATGCAATCAAGTGCTCAATCAGGTTGGGAAGGCAAACTGAGTTGCAAATTACAGAGCATTTTCATTTGTGAATGGGGAAAAGTATTTTACATGGAGGCATTAAAATTAAACTCATTAAGCCCAGGGCAAAGAACAGAACTGTGATCCACAAAATGATAGAGAGAAAGGCCAGGCAGCTGTTCAGATCGCCAAGTCATTGTTTCATACTTCTAGTTTCTAGCAGAAAGGGAAAGTCTCAAATACC